TCCTCTATGGACATCTATTTTTTAGTGGAGCTCAGCTGAGATATGAGATTTTTTTTTGCACTCAATATGAACTTCAGGTTCATATGGGGATCCATCAGTTGTTTTCTATATGCTATACTGCATATTTTATGTCACCACATGGAGATCACCTTAATTGGTTTTGCAATCCCTTGGATTTGCTTTATCTAAAGCCCATTTCGAGTGCGAACATAATCTTCTAGATGTTCAGCTTACTCTCGATGTGGGATTCTTTAATTCTCTCCCTCGAGATGATGACACTTTCAAGGTCTATCCATCTCGAATTGAATCTCACTCTAGGACCAACTATATATTCAATGAGCTTTAAACCAAAAGAAATGGTGATCCATCCATGGATGCTTTTCACGATGGCTTCATTTTTTTTTTCTTTATGACATGCACTAGTTGAAAAAGCTTATGGTTTTTCAACATGTATTCTCAATGATCTTATATCATTGGAACTACCGGGATGGCTTAACCGGTTTATTCAATTAGTAAACTTCAGGTTTACTATGGTATATACCCTTGCCATATTTTTTTATTATTATCACATATATGCATATCACCATCGTGTGCTCTTGTGGAGCATTTTTCTCTTCCAGAGCTCCTAGCTCTTATAGGGTTTTTAGCTCTTCCGGAGCTTAGCTCTTATGGGGCTTTTAGCTCTTCTGGAGCTTCTAGCTCTTACGGGGCTTTTAGCTTTTCCGGAGCTTAGGTCTTACGGGGCTTTTAGCTCTTCCGGAGCTTCTAGCTCTTACAGAGCTTTTAGCTTTTCCGGAGGTTCTAGCCCTTACAGTGCTTTTAGCTCTTCACGAAATTTCAAAAAAAATTTAGCTCTTCTGGAGCTTTTAGTTTCAAATCTTTTTAGCTCTTCCGGAAGTTTTAATTTTTAAAGACATGTTTTGATGTCTTTAATCCATATTATAATCGATAAAATATATCAGATAGTTAAACATATTAGTTCATAATAATAACATACCTGGTATAGTTTCCATAGGTTTTGAAGACGCCGAGCCTACCATAAAATAAGGAGGAGACATAACCTTCCACTCCATTATTTTGTGTTCATGGAGAAGGCTTAACCTTCCACTCCATAAAATTTGATTAAGATGGAGGATTAAACCTTCAACTCCATAATTTTATGATCACAAAAGAGGTTTAACCCTTATATTCCATAAATATATGATCAAGGTGGAGGCATAGCCTTCTACTCCATAATATTAGTAGGGAGGAGATTTAATCTTCCACTACACAAATATAAATTTAAATGTAAAAACATAAATATGGATTAGGAGGAGGATTAACCTTCCACTCCATCATTTTCTGATCATGGAGGAGGTTTAACCTTCCATTCCATTATTTTGTAGCCATAGAGGAGGCTTAACCTTCAACTCCACTAATAAATTTAAATATATAAACATAAATTAAACAAGGAGGAGACACAACCTACAACTCCATAAATAAATTTAAATATATAAACATAAATTAAAAAAGGAGGAGGCATAACCTTCCACTCCATAAATATAAACTAGGAGGAGGTTTAACCTACCACTCCATAAATATAAATAAGGAGGAGGCTTAACCTGTGATATATCATGGTTTTTATGGTTTTTGACCATGATATAGGTCTTATTTATAGAGTATTTTTAGTGTTTTTCGAGTCTTTTGGAGTCTTTACAGGTCCTAGGTACGTTTGGAGCTTAATTGGAGATATTGGAGCATTTTGGAGCTAAATGGATGGATTTTCGTAAAGGATGATTTCAGCTATGCATGAGTGTCGCTCGACACTACCATTGGTGTCGCTCGAAACCGAGGACCACAAAAGGAAAAACGTGATTTTATCCAATTTCTGAAGAATCTGTGAAGCCCTGAAGTTTTAGTATTTACAAAAAGGCCCAAAACGTGTTTTTAGATTTAAGAAGGGTTTTCTGCCTCCTTCATCGATACCTTTTACTTTTGAGACTTTCAGAGAGAAAACTTTTGTCATCTTTACTTTTGAGAGCTCTTGGGGAGACAAGTCTGAACTCTGTTTGTTTTGAGAGAAGATTTCGAACCCCTGTTATTTATTTAGTGATTTTTTTATTTGCAAACTATTCATTCATGTCTGTTGCTTCAATATTCATGTCTGAGTAGTTAGCTTGTTAGGTTTAGGGTTCTCATAAAGGATTTTATTGAATGTTAGATTGATTGATTAGTTAGGGTTCATAATCTATTTAGTTCTTCACCATAGGTTGTTCTTAAAACTAATTCTGGATTGGCCACCTAGAACTTAGATCTTAGGTTAATTGATTGACACAAAAGTGTAATCGAATAACTGGAAAGAACCTAGGGTGAGCAAAGTAGCTATCCGCAAAGAAATTTGGTTTAGATACTTTGTGAACATATCAAACCTGCACTTAAGGCTAGTTTATATCTTTAGGATTTGCAAAGAAATTTGGGATTCTAGGATTTAGACTTAGATAATTCTCGCAATGAAAGTTGGTTAATTATAATTTCGTGATTTGAGTTCAAGAACTGCGCTTAACCTGAATCCTGGCTAGTTAATTTATCTGCATTCTCTGATTTCCTGAGAAACACCCTGGACCTAATCTTTTTCCAATCGATTTACAACCGTTTTCATTGTTCTGGTGTTTTCAATTCTGTTATTTCTGCTTAGCGTAATTCAATTCTTTTAGGTCTATTGAGTGAATCTCTCGTCTCTGTGGTTCGACCTCTGCAATACTACAACCGCACATCTGTGCTCTTGCAGAGTAGCTCTAGGGATTAAACTTTGAACAGATCAACCTGCTACTCCATAATTATGATCGGAGGAGACATAGTCTACCATATGATCATATGATCGTGAAAGCATAGCTTATAATAACGATCTGTTCAGAGAAGGCATAGTCTATGATCCTTTAAATTTGAAAATAAATTGAATATAAATTTAAATTATCGGTTCAGGGAAGGTAAAGTCTATTTTCCCAAAATAATACATAAACGGAGAAGGCATAGCCTTTCTTTTCGTAAATATATAAACTTTAGATCGACTAAACATAAATTAAATCTTACCTCCAAGGATTAAGAGTCGATCGTACTGATAATGTGTTATGAATAAAAACATATATCTATGTATATATGCATCTTTATATATTATATTATATAGAGAGAGAGTGATATTGGAGGAGAGAGAGACGAGCACAAGAAGGAGAAAAGAGAGCTTCTTATTATTGCTTCTTCACATCATCTTTTTACAAAGTTGAAGCAGTATATATACTACCATATAAATTAATAATATATTTACATGATAAAAATTTCAATAACGTGAATTAATAAGAAACTTAGGCTTGGGGTTGGTAAGTAACTTATTTATGAAGATAATTGAGTAGGTAGATAATTACCTATTCTTTAACAATTTTGATATTTTAATTTCACTTTTGAGTTTTTTTTTCAACTTTAATTTGATGATTTTTTTGGTTCTCTTCTAAGGAGAATATAATGAGTTATCTTCAAATAAAGACACAATCATCTAATTATAAAACACGTGAACATAAAACGGAATAAATAAGTTAGTTTTGGCAAAAACTTGAGGAGGACATAAGTACAACGAGTAACAGAGAGAAAGAGAAATAATAAGAACGTTATTTTTTCCTTTAAAATGCATTATATGATACCATAAAATTTATATATATTAGTACAATTACAACTCTCAAACAGGTTAATACACTGATGAACGATTAAACAGTGAGAGAGAATTACTGCCTTGATACCTTGACCGATGGAACTCTGATGAACCCGTTGATGTCAAACTATTATCAATAATTTTCAGTCAATCTCAATTTTATTAATCAATAAGAAACACTCAACACAACATTCGGTGTAAACTACTTATAATAAATCCAAAATTGGTAAACAACTCCTAATATAATAAATCTACACTATAACCTCTATAAAATTAATACTCTATAGATTAATAATCACTATAAAATAATAAATTTTGTTGGTTCCAAGTCGGACTAATGTAAAAATCCATCAAATTTGATAAGATAGCAAGATAATATTTTTTTTAAAAATTTTTATATAAATATATGGTCCCAATAAAAACATAAATTAATAATTGCATAAATTTATGTAAATATATGTAATATACTATACTAAAATATAACTAATGTATTTGTTTTTTATTTAAAGTTGAAATTTCATTGGTGTTCATCTTTTCACTTATTATATTTTTATCATAAAATTTTAATGTGATAATTGATTTTCTTACACGTCAATGTTTACAAATGTATTGTAATATTGTCTTCAATTTTATATAATAACCACAATTTCTTATAAATTTTGAACTTGTAAATATGTATTTATTTTTTATCAACAAATATGTATATTTTTAATAGACAAATCAATATGCTATTAAAAACTATTCTGTTATGATAACTATATTTATTAATCATAATTTTTGATAACTATATGCTTAAATTCTTAAATACAACATTATTTGAAAATTTTTTTTAAAAGATTATATGCGAAAACCAAATTATCTCTATAAATTAATTATCCATGATAAATTAATAAAATTTTATGGTCCTAATATTATTAATTTATAGAAACATTATAAATAATAAAATAAATAGTAAAATAAATATAAAAATATAATGAAAATACACTTGTATCAACAGTAAAACATGTTATAAATCTCGTCTTCTCAAACAAACTATTCCATTGAATTTACAATAGATTATGCGAACCTATACTCGAAAATTACTGAAAATCAGTGACATCTCATTGGGAAAATCACACTTTCATATATTTTGTCAAATCTTGCTATACGATATTATTTTTCTAATACAAAATGTGACTTATATAGAAGCGCAAATAAAATCGTTAAACCAAGTGATGATTTTTTTTTTCTGTGTACACCAAGAGTTTATAAGAGTTTTTGTTTTCCAACTTCTTTTTCATTCGTTTCATTGAAAGGAGATAGTTTTAAAAATATATCACTCAAACTTAGTCAGGTCTTTTTGGTGAAATTAGGATAGGTTGGAAACTTGGAATTTGTTTTTGTTTTTGGAAATTTTCCTAATCCGGTTTAAGAAAACAAAATTTCGTCGTTTCGAAATTTCAAATCTATTTAGGAGAGCAAAAAGTTATAATAAAAAAAGGAAACAAGTGGAAAATTAAAAAAAGGAAACAAATAAGAAGAAGCAGGCACTCCTCCGCTCTGCTTCCGCTTCTGTTCATCTCTGATCTCGGAAGAAGATTACTCGATACAAAAGTAAGCTTCTCTTTCTCGTCTCTTTCTACTTCTATTTCTCTCTTTTTCCAGTTTCCGGTGAAGAATCATTGACTTCAGGTTTCGTGTTGATTCGTGTTTTATAATCATAGATTTCTGCAAAAATCGCGTCAATTTAGCTGCGTTTCCTTTCTATTCCTACTTCAGAATCTTCAACACTTGAGGATCGTCGGATCCATACTCAGCTTCTGGTATGTGTAGCTTACCGATCTTAAAGAGACGATGTGAGTTTGAACTTTTTAGTTTCTCCTCTCTTTTTTCAGTCTTCGAATTCTCCATCGCCGTTTGTTCAAATCGTATTTCTTATGCCTTTGGAATTGGAATTAAGAATTTGTGGAATTTCTCCAGATTTTGTTTGAAAATACATAAATGCAGCTATGCTCCTTTACATGCTCCTATAGTTCTTTTAGTATCATATTTTTGGTAATTAGACTTTGATGAAGTTAAGAGTTTGTGGATTTTTCTCCAGATTCGGTTTGGAACAATGAATTTCAAATACCTAATTGCAGGCCATGGAAGGAGTTTAGATCTGAATTGTAACCAGCTTTACTGCTTTAAACGTTCCTATAGTTCTTCTAGTATCAGACTATGTGTGTAATTTGAGTTTGATGAACTTGAATATATGTATTATAGACTGATTGCTTGATTTCTTTTTCTAGGTTGCCGTTTTCGAGCTCGTGGTCTGGACTCTGGAGTGGTTTTGATTCTTCTGGTTCCTATTTGTGGCTGATTGTAATGAGAGCATAACCTTGAAATCATGGAGGAGATTCGTTTATCGCCGCTGAGACAAACAAGCTTTAAGTCTTCTTCACTGTCAGGGAGGTCTACTCCAAGAGGCTCACCTAGAGTACATTCTGGTAGGACTCCACGTAGAGGTAGCGGAGGAGGAGGAGGAGGAGGAACGTTTCAGTGCTTTCGTAGTAGCCGACTGGTTTATTGGCTGCTTTTGATTACTCTTTGGACGTATCTTGGGTTTTATGTTCAGTCTAGGTGGGCACATGATAATGAAAACAAAGTTGAGTTTTTACGGTTTGGAGGCAAACTGAGAAAGGATGTTTTACATGTTGAGACGAACAAAGGAATGGGTGCTGTTGCTGATGAGACTTCTGATGCTATGGTAAGTCTTACTGGTAAAGATGATGCTGGTGCGAATAAGAGGACGGATGTTAGTCTGAGCAAGAAAGACGATGGGGCTTCTCGAAGGAGTTTGAGTTCCAAGCAGAAGACGAGAAAAACTGGCCGGGCTTCACGTGGTAAGATCCGTGGTAAGCAGAAGGTGAGCAAAGATGTTGAGACTAAGGATTTGGATGATGAGCAAGATCCACAACTTCCAATGACAAATGCTACTTATGGTAAGCTTCTTGGTCCTTTTGGATCACTAGAGGATAGAGTTCTTGAATGGAGCCCGCATAGACGGTCTGGGACCTGCGACAGGAAATCGGATTTTAAACGCCTTGTTTGGTCAAGGAGATTCGTCTTGCTTTTCCACGAGCTCTCAATGACTGGCGCTCCGATTTCGATGATGGAGCTGGCTTCAGAGCTTTTGAGCTGTGGCGCAACAGTCTATGCAGTAGTTCTCAGCAGGAGAGGTGGATTGATGCAAGAGCTCACTAGGAGAAGGATCAAAGTGGTTGAAGACAAAGGAGAACTCAGCTTCAAGACCGCTATGAAAGCAGATTTGGTCATTGCAGGATCAGCTGTGTGTGCCTCATGGATAGGTAAGGATTCATTATACGAATTTTGGGACTACTGATTAACGGTCAAAGGAAAGCAGAGCTTGATTAATGTTCTTCGTTTTTTTGCAGATCAATACATGAATCATCATCCAGCTGGTGGAAGTCAGATAGCTTGGTGGATAATGGAGAATCGAAGAGAATACTTTGACCGAGCGAAACCAGTGCTTGACCGAGTGAAAATGCTGGTTTTTCTATCGGAATCACAGAGCAAACAATGGTTAACATGGTGCGAAGAGGAGCATATAAAGCTTAGATCACAACCAGTGATTGTTCCACTATCGGTTAATGATGAGCTGGCTTTTGTAGCTGGGATTCCTTCTTCACTCAACACACCAACACTTTCTCCAGAGAAGATGAGGGAGAAGAGACAAATATTACGTGAATCAGTCAGAACGGAGTTGGGTTTAACAGATGCAGATATGCTGGTGATGTCTCTTAGCAGCATAAACCCAACAAAGGGACAACTTTTTCTCCTTGAATCCGTTGCCTTAGCACTTGTTGAGAGAGAACAAGAAGCTCAAAGGAATCGCAAGGGCATCACTAGGAAAGACAAAGCTAGTCTCTCGAGCAAACACCGTCTAAGAGGTTCATCTCGACAGGTGAAAAGTGTTTCTCTCACACCTGACGATGCCGTAACAAGCCAGAAGCAAGAAATTAAAGTTCTTCTAGGATCAGTGGGTTCAAAGAGCAACAAAGTTGGATACGTTAAAGAGATGTTAAGCTTCATATCAAACAACGGAAACTTATCCAAGTCAGTCATTTGGACTCCAGCAACAACTCGTGTTGCTTCATTATACTCTGCAGCAGATATCTACGTTACAAACTCTCAGGTAAGAAATCCTCAGATATTATGCATTCAATTCCTCTTGCAGTTCCCTTCTAAAATTTGAAATCCAAAAGAAAACAAATACAAAATTTCATAGCAGAGAAAGCAAATTTACAAAGCTAATAGTCTCTGATTGAAACTTTTTTTTTAAAAAACAGGGAGTTGGTGAAACATTTGGGAGAGTAACAATCGAAGCAATGGCTTATGGACTAGCAGTGGTGGGAACAGATGCAGGAGGAACAAAAGAGATGGTGGAACATAACGTGACAGGTCTACTTCACTCAACAGGAGGATTAGGTAACAAAGAATTGGCTCACAATCTCTTGTTTCTACTTAGAAATCAAGAAACGAGGCTACAAATGGGGATCCAAGGACGCAAAAAGGTTGAGAAGATTTACATGAAGCAACATATGTACAAGCGATTCGTCGACGTTCTTGTGAAATGCATGAGACCATAAACACTTTGATCTTCTCAAAGCCCCCGATTCTTATTAATTTTCCACGCTATATAAGTATATATAGTCTTTCGAGTTATTTGGATTTTGGGGAATTTCTTATTACATGCATTAATTTTAAATTGTTATCATAGTGATGTATATGTGGTCATGAAACACTTAGAACACAAATTAAAGGGGTTAAATGGACAAAGAAACAACCTTTTAGGACAACATCCTTAACGTTCACGGACTCCTCTTCGTACTTGTCTTCCTTCATCTTGATACTTTTGAGTGCCACAATCTTTACAACCACATTGTATTCTCACTACATGAATATAATATCTATGCTTATTTATTTTCTCCGGACTAATACCTTCGATTTCGACCCTTCTAAAGCTGTTTTGCTTCATGTCATAGTAGTAAACATAGGATGGCTTGTTATCAAATATTCAAATTAAGTAATAAGAAAGTTGAAGCACAGATATTTCACCAGCCGGAGTGACACCTGAGAAGATATAGAAATCACCTCCTTACAACATCAATGGGTTTTCAGACAACCAAAAAGTAATCTTGGACCATTCTTGCTTCTCGGCATTCTCCATAATACACGTAGACATAGTTGTATCGTTCCTGTTGCAGCATATGCAACCTAACTTCCCTATGAGTTAATATTCACTGAAATTCCAAGCTAAAACTGAAATGCGAGTAAGCGAATACACAGCTTATTGTAATATATTATTTGCTAACTTAGGCGTATATGTGAAATTTTGCATAGTTCACTTAAGATTGGAACGGTTTTAGTTCCTGGGTCATTATTTCATAAACTACACAAAGATTGTGTCAAGACATTTTCATAAATATTTATGAGGATATACTGAAATATTTCATCATTGCATTTATGATTGCTCCTATATCCAACTTACTCTATACATTCTCTTTGACTTACGCGCGACATAGTAATTTCTGTGAGCAGATAACAAGCTTGCAGTCTAAATGTCTAACATTACATTCAATTCGAAGAAGAAAAAAAAAGAAAAAACTATGAAAAAATTAAATTAATAAAGGAACGATTTATATGAGAAGGTTTAAAATAATACAAATGACTCCTAGCTACAACCACATTGTATTCTCGACATGATCATGAATGGCAAATACGCGAATACTATTTCTATGTTGTTTTGTGATCTCCAGCCTAGCACTTTCGATTTCAACTCTTCTAATGCCTTTTTGCTTCATGTCATAGTAATAAACATACAATGGCATATTATGAGAACAATCCGCAAGTTGAACCACAAATATCTCATCACCAGCATGAGTAACACCTGAGAAACTACTGAAATCACCTCCTTGGAGTTCAAGCAAGCCAAAACTAATCTCGGACCATTCTTGTTTCTCAGCATCCTCCAAAACCCACATAGTGGCATTGTTTCCGTTGCAACATATGAACCTCAACTTCCCTAGGTGGTTAAATAGAGTTTGATTAGTCGACCATGTAAACAACAATGCCTTTAACAATGTCTCCGGAGCCTGGACATGATAAAATCTCTCGGACCTTACGTTGAAACTCAGCAAAACAGCAACACCACCATGACTTCGATCCATTCTAACTGCTGCATAATAGATAGTCCCCTCAACGCATACCCCCACGTTAAAATCTGATTAACATTAAAATTGTCTCTACCAAATTCAATTCGTTAAAACTTACAACTCTTACGACCTAAAAGACCATGCCACGTGCAATACCCAAATTAGTGTATTTGTACATTTCTGCTTTTTCAAGAATTAGTTTTTTTTTTTTAAGTAAAATTATAATTTCAAGAAAATAACTGGTTACTTTTATTTATACTTTTGGTATTTTTTATAATCTTTAATAAGGTTAATTTATTTTAAAGACTGTTATTTTGTCTGTGTATGTATACTTACTTTTTTTTTACATAAGTGAAACTATTATTTTCCCAAAATTATTATTTTTTACTCCAGACTACTAATTCATCCTGACCCAAAAAAAAAACATTAATTCATCAATTTGAGATTTTTGCTTGGTGGATACAATAGAGCACAAGATACTAGAGTCAAGGCGGAACTAAAGCGCGCCAAAGGGAAGCCGAGAGAACAAAACCCTAAATTTCGCCGACGAGAAAACATGCCGGAGCTTCCGGAAGTAGAGGCGGCGAGGAGAGCGATAGAGTATCACTGTCTCGGTAAGAAAATCAAGCGAGTCATCATCGCCGACGACAGCAAAGTCATTGATGGAATCTCTCCGTCCGATTTCCAAAACTCAATCCTCGGAAAAACCATCGTTTCTGCTCGTAGGAAGGGGAAAAACCTCTGGCTCGAGTTAGATTCCCCGCCATTTCCTTCTTTCCAATTCGGTACTTTCTCTCAAGCAATCTAGGGCCTTTTACCTAAATTCCAGAGCTTTTGATAGGTTACATTGAAATCGAACATTTGCCAAAAATGCAGGACTGTTCTTAGTTAAATGCTAGACCTTTTTGCTTTAATGCATTAGAAATTAGTGGAAAGTGTTAAGCTTTATTGTTTCTTAGAAATGAAATTTGGTTTCTGTTGATGTGTTTCTTCAGGTATGGCTGGTGCTATCTATATCAAAGGCGTTGCAGTTACTAAATACAAGAGGTGAAGGTTTATGGAGTCTATTACGTCATTTGCTTTGATAAGTATAAGATTGATACAGAACAAGATTGATTATGTATATCATTTTTTACAATATAGATCTGCTGTAAAGGATTCAGAAGAGTGGCCATCAAAGTATTCAAAGTTCTTCGTTGAGGTTGAGAGATTTATAATCTTCTTTGACCTGATTACCGACCCGAAAATGTGATTCAGTTACAATGAATTCCTCTGTTGTATACAGCTTGATGATGGTCTGGAGCTTTCGTTTACTGACAAGAGGAGATTTGCCAAAGTTCGACTTCTAGAAAATGTATAAACGCATAACTATATGTTGCTTCTCTTTGTTTAGCTAGATACTTGGTGATTGTTTAATTGATGTTTTGCTATTGTAGCCTGCGTCTGTGCGTCCAATATCAGAGCTTGGTCCTGATGCATTGTTGGAGCCACTGACAATTGATGAATTAGCGAAGAGCTTAGCCAAAAAGAAAATAACCATAAAACCTCTCCTACTTGATCAGGTTCAGAGTTTATTTAACTTTTCTATGTCTTTTATGCATCTATCAGCTCTTTCTTGTCATTGCCATTTCTCATAATAGCTAGAAACTTGGTTATGTAACATTTCATTGCCTGCAATATAACTTGAAATGATCTTCTGATTCATTGCAGAGTTTGATTGTGGTTTTCCTCTTCTTTTGTTTAAAAACGTTGCACATATAGAGGATCATTTATCTCCTCTCATTTTGCAGGGTTTCATTTCAGGTATTGGGAATTGGATCGCAGATGAAGTGTTGTACCAAGTAAGTGAGCTTTAAGCTCTTCAAAACTTGAGATGAAGTGAATCATCTATATAACCACTCATTTGATCCACAGAGTATCCTCTTTTGTTTCCAAATTTGTACATTATACGACTCAATTTACATGGTATAGGATTAATTCCGCTTGTCTTCCTCTATCGCAGGCCAGAATCCACCCGTTGCAGACTGCTTCTAGCCTCTCCAAAGAGCAATGTGAAGCTTTGCACACGTCCATCAAAGAGGTAAGACTCTTAAAAACCCGCCAAAAACATTACCTACAAAACATGGGAATAAACAGAACGATCTGTTAACATGCATGATGCATTGAGTATTTTGGGATTTAGAGAGGAAAAAAAAAAAAACCACGTTTGTAGGTCATTCAACATGCGGTTCAAGTCAGTGCTGATAGCAAAGAGTTTCCTGTTGAATGGTTATTTCATTTTCGGTGGGGGAAAAAACCGGGGAAAGTTAATGGTAAGCTTTTCCCACCCATCTATATATAATTTTGATGAAAAGCAAAATTGGGTTTTTGCAGGTGATAGAAAAAGCAGTGGAAGTTGATGCAGACACTAGTCAGTTTCCTAGTATCTGGATTTTTCATTCTAGGGAAGCGAAGCCAGGAAAGGCTTTTGTTGATGGTTTGAATCCCAGATTTAACACTCGAACTCTTTATCTTCCTGCAACAGTTCATAAAAATGTCTGATTTGTTTGATCTTTCAACCTCCAAAACTGCAGTTGATAATCCCCATTAATAACTGCTTAAATGTCTTGTGAGTGAATTGTGATGTATCTGATTGATGCGATTGGTAATGAAGTCTGTTTTGGTTATTTCAGGGAAGAAGATTGATTTCATCACTGCTGGTGGAAGGGTAAGTGTGTATATACATTGTTAGGCACTGTTATTTCGTGGGTGATTGATTCATGTGGTGAACTGAATAAATGTTTCTTGTGTTTGGGTGTCTCCTTCTACAGACAACAGCTTATGTCCCAGAGCTGCAAAAACTCACTGGGAAAGACGCTGAGAAAGCAACCAAGGTTAGAGCGGGTAAAAGAGGTGTAAATTCCAAAGAAGACGATGGAGATGGAGACGAAGATGAACAGGAATCTGAGGAAGAAGATGATAGTGCTAAACCGAAGAAAGGACAGAAACCAAAGGGTCGTGGTAAGAAGCCTGCATCGAAGAGAAAAACAGAAGAAAGTGACGATGAGGACGACGATGCTGTTGCTGATGGTGGGGATGATAGCGAAGCTGAAGAGAAAGTTATTAAACCCAGAGGTCGTGGCGCAAAGCCTGCGATAAAGAGGAAACGTGAAGGGAAAGCTACTAGCCAAGCTGGTAAGAAGCCAAAGGGAAGGAAAAGTTGAGAACTCAACAACTCCAAGATGTGTTTTTTTTTTTGTCGGCAGCTTAACACTTATCCCATATTTTGTAAGAAATCATGTTGGAAATGTGGTAAAGGCTTTGTGATGCTACTATTGCTAGTTATTTTAGCTGTTATAAGGCTTTGTTGATTACCTTTGTCCTTGTTTGGTGAATTTGGAAGTCAGAAAAATCCTCTGAGGGCAGCGACTACTTTCTCTGGCCTGTATTCAAAGTTGAAAATTCAGAAAGGTTGAGAACAGTCAAAGGAGAGCAGAGAAGTATCGTGTGTATCATCAACATACCAGTCTTCCTGAGGCAAATGCCCAGCACCTTCGATGAGTCGAAGCTTAACATTTTGGGAGTTCTGTTTCTCAAATTCCTCTGCTATTGACTGAGGCAGGTACTTATCAGCTATTCCCCAAGCCAGAAGTATGGGTTTATCCCAGCTGTGAAGGAACGCTATCTCAGCAAAGAACCATGCCTATCTGTATCTGTAGACATGAGAATTTGGAAAACAGTGGAGAAACTCATGTACCTGTCTGATGAAAACCCATTTGCAATTTGACTCAGAATGTCTCCGAAGTTGATCTTTTTGGCAGTCTCGAGCAAGGCTAATTCATCAGAATCTCACCATGAGAAGTCTTAGATATAATTGAATCATCATAAGTAGTGAGAGTAATGTGTATATCATTCTCCATTGGTTTAGAGACGTACCAAACCCAGGCCCTCCGCTTGACAAATATGGTAGACGATACACATCAGCTTTCTCATTCTTCAGAACGTAGCTATCAAAGCAGATATAAGGTTAAGAAAAATGTCCACTATCAATATCTCCAAGCACATGCGTTTTGAAGCTAAGGCATAAAGATAATATTGGTTAATTTGATACATACGGGCTACCTCCTTCAATGAACCTCTCAGCCAAGATAGCATTTTGGCACGTGAATTCACCAAAGAGTGGAATTCTGCATCAGAAGAAAATGACACACAAATACGATTGTGAGAGTCAATGAAATCCATTATATGTAGCACAAGAGAAACCAAGAGATATGAATAGATAATCAAGGCACGAAGCTGATGCTTCCACAAAGAATTACAAGCATTTAGAGTGGTCAAAATGGTGAAAAAGTTGAACCTCAGCTGCTTAAATAAACCAGGAACTGGGGATGAAACGGTCAGTGGAGTATTTAGGATCGCAATTTTCTCAATCTTACTCGGATTTTTCAATGCCCATGTTAAACCGTATGAACCTACAAGAAATCCCTTGGGAGACCACAACAAATGCAAACATAAGTTATTCGAAACCAGCCTCCATGAATTGTAAACACATTATAAAGAAATGGGATCAGTACACAAATCCGAACCTGAACAACAAGAAAGAAAGGAGATTTGACCTCTAGCACGTCCAGCAGTTTATCAAACGCTTCATGGTACTCTTTTTCTGACAGAAAAAAAAAAAAAAATCGAAACTTTTTAGGACAATGGACCATGTTTGTATTTCGCAATATATTAAATGTAATATCAACAAAACCTGTGTAATTAAAGCCATATCCTGGTTGTGGCTTGTCACTGAATCCGAATCCTATCCAATCAGGCGCAAAGCAATGAAACCCAGCTTCTGACATCTATTACATTGTTGAGGAAACACAAAACGATCCATACAAAGATTCAAATGCGTACTCAAAACTATCTACATTATTTGGAAATCTAAAGAGTCTTCACTAGAAGCAAAATTCAGCAATTATTTCACATATAGACTCATTAACAAGGTCATGGAGACCAATAATATTCTAGGCATGACTACTCAAGATTCAGTGTGGCACCTGAGACATGACAGTCCGGAAACTAAAAGACTGAGTTGGAGCTCCGTGAAGAAAGACAATGGTTCCTCGACGACTCTCCTTTGATCCTGCCGGAAAAAAAGACAAAATATGATAATCAGTGATCAATTCTTCTTGAAGCAAGAAGAAACACAAAAGCTTATGAAAAAATGGATGACTTGTGTTTTTACCAGTTTCTCTCACAAACCATCTAAGCTTCCCCGATTTGATGGTCGAACCAAATTCTCTTCCCTTATCTTCAGTCCTCTAAACCACAAAACCAAATTTCACAACAATCAAACAAAAACAGAACTTGAAATAAACTTTGCTTCTTAATATATCATGTGGAATTTGATAGCACAAAACAAGCCAAAATCTATTTCAGTAACGACCCAGAAAATGATCAAGTATTCAATTTCAGTTCAAAAGTTTGAAATGGTAGCTTAGTGAACTCACGTAGAGCATCTGGCCGACGTTGCCGTCTTCCGCCGGAGACTCCGGTAGCTGAATTGCGCTTCGGCTTGACGGATTATCCGTAACGAAGCCAAATGGATTGAAAGCCGGATCGTCCTCACGATCATTTCCGCGACCACCACTATTTCCGTTCTCCGACGTAGCTTTGACGACGGAGAAGCGGAAGTTAGACGGAGTAGCTCTGATTCTAGAGACGGTGGATTTTGTCGCGACGGTGGAGGGGAATGAGTGGAGCAGAGGAAGAGGAGAGAGCAGAGACAAAGGCATTTTTATTTTTTTGATTTGTCAAGTAAAAGCGTATTTCCTCAATTTATATGTCCGCCTATAGAGGTGTCAAATTGGGCTCTGACCTGCGGGTTCGGCCCAAGTAAAACCGTAGCGGTGCGGGCTTGGACACCATAAAATTTGTCCAAATAAAAAGCGGGTTTTGCGGTCCAAACCCGCGTGGACGTTGGGCTTTTGCGGGTCGGGTTAAAGCGGATCCGCGGGTTTGCAGGCCAACCCGCAAAATTTGATGTTTTCTTGTAAACTTCGAAAAGTGAAGTATTTTGTCATTTTTGATTAATAGATTTCGAAGTAGTAGTTTCATAGAGTGAATCGAAGCCTAGTGGAATCATACTTCAGCTATTGGGCTTTGTGATAGCTTCATTTCAATGAGATCAAAGAATCATCAAACTAGTATATGTTTTATATTCGATTCGATTCAGATTCTGTGATTGGATTTTTGAATTTGAGAGAAAATCTGGTCATTGTCTTCAGCTAAAAACAAGTAATTTTTTTAAAGTTTTAATTAATTTCAGTTTAGTGTCATAAGTTTGCTTGTTTTTTGTTGGTTTTGCTCATCGACTATATCACGGACGTGGTTTTATTTTGTTTGCAGCGATGCAAAGGTAATTTAGAATCGCTTAAATCTTGAATTGACAATAAATAGTTTTGCTTGAAAATCACATTTGTTTGTACGCTAGACTAACAAATAAGCTTTGTTCATATTTTTTATTATTTATTTTATATGTGAATGTCTTGTTGCTTGTATCTTGATGGTTATTTACCTTAAATTACCAGTTTTTATGTGTATCATTATTTGTAATTCATTTATTTGCTTTTCAAAACTAAGTGTCTATTTTTACCGTTAAATTGATTTTTTAAATCTTATGGTATCCTAGGGTTAGGAGTTTTGTATAAGAGGTTTATCGAATTCATTTGTTTGTTCATCGAATTTACTTAGACAAGAATTTTCTTTAGTTTTGTTTCTTATGCATATTGTAATTCAGTTACGAGGAAAATTTTATTCTCCTCTAGCAAATTTTCTGGTACTATAAATCTAAATGTCATAAAAACTTTAAGATGAAGAAGAAAGTATGAATCCGCAGGCCAGCCCGCAAAACCGCAGAATATAGGTAGGTCGGGCTTGGACACATCAATATGGGACCGCAGCTTATGATGGGCCAATCCGCCAGACCCGGAAAAAAATTAAACCCGCATCGGGTCGGGCTATTTGGACGCGGGTTGGCCCGTTTGACATCTCTATCCGCCTACGAAGAAAAAAATTATGAATAATGATGCATTAATTAAAGTTAAGGATAAAAAATTTAGAAATTGATTAGATTTAGGATTGTTTTGATATTGGGTACGATTCGTGACTAAATTTTGAACGGTTGTAGCAAAGACCATTAAAAAAACAATTAGAGATAACGGTTGAAAACCATGGTTTTATAACATCAAAAAAGTTAAAGAACATATATTTGTTCTCATAATTTATAATTCATAATCTATACAATTAAAGAAAAATATGCACAATTTATATTTTGTGGACTAACTTGAATATACAAACATATTTTATTTTCTGATTTTTTGTTTGTCGAATAAATTAAATTGAATGAAATAACAAAAAACTAACACACATATATACCTACAAAAAAATAAATAATTTTACTAATTTATTATTAAAAATTAATATCAAATTACAAATTTTAGTTTTAAAAAAAACTCTGGTTACCACCGTTTGTTTGCTCCAAACGCTCATTTTTTATAGTTTGTTACCGTCCAAAAATCAACTTTCAACTATTTGAATTATCTTTCAACCGTCCATTTCAAACGCTGATTACAACCATAATTTTAAATGCTTTCTCTAACCAATCTTGCTGATTGGTAGTATTTTTTTAACTAACAGTCTGTTTAATGCTACCAATCAAACCCATTGTATAAAAACATAGGAGATTAATCCTCCGTTATTCTTTGAAATGACAATGTTTGATCACAAGAAGGGTAAACTAACAAATTGAAAACGTCTGGGGTTTTTCTAATATTTACCGAAACTATAGTGGCTTAATTCTACGTTTTTGTTTAAAACGACAACGTTTATCTTAAGGAGGGTAAACCTACAGATTTGGAAAAGTATGGGGTTTTTATGATAATTAACAAAACAACAGGGGCTTTGATGATGAACTATTGGTGTGATGAAACGTCGTCGTTTAGTTGCACGTGTTTTTCAATCTGTGAACCCTAAGGTGTCTTGTTCTATGGAAATGCTAGAGTCACCAGTCGAGCCCCAAAACAACCTTCACCGTCAGAAGAAGAAGCTTAACTACCAACCGCCTTAAAAAAAGGTCAATACCCGCGCAAAACTCATTCTCGGGTCGGATCGTCCGTGCAAAACCCGACCGGATCCATCCGGACCGATCAATTTCACGATTGTTCTCCGGCAAATTGGATAAAGACAAGTATTTTCAAAAACACCCGCGAATTGAGGAAAGAGGAGTTAAAAGCTCCAATGGAGAGAAGTGATTCCGGCGATGTAGATGTATGAACCCGAAACCCCTCTTTTGTATTTCTTTTTAAATTCCTGAACTTTGGTGAAGATGATGCATTGATTAGTCAAGCTCTTGTTTTTATTAGTTTGGTTATGATTTGATTTCATTGGTTTGAATATGATTACTGGTTCACGAGTTTTGAAACCCCAGTGGAGTATTTTTCATTTTTGTACTGTTGATTGAGTAGTGCTATATAGTGATCAAGTTTGTAGCTTTATTCAATTTTTGCAAGTTTACATTTATCATCATTGATGGTGTATTATACAGGTACAAGCATCTGCGTATTTACAGACTGAAGAAACCCACGAAAGAGTTGATCCATTGTCAGATGGTGAATGCACGTTAAGGATAGGAGATGCTCTGATTTGTACTAGTGAGCATGATGAGATCGATGTTGGATTTAGTCAAAACGAGCAAAGAAAGAGCGAAGAAGAGGAAGAAGCTAGAGGAGAGTTTGATGAAGAACAGATTGGTTTACCTGTTGAGAGCAAAGAATTCGACGCACCAGCTGTTGGAATGGAGTTTGAGTCATACGATGATGCTTATAACTACTATAACTGCTACGCTACAGAAGTTGGGTTTCGGGTAAGAGTGAAGAACTCGTGGTTCAAGCGGCGTAGCAAAGAGAAGTATGGTGCGGTGCTTTGCTGCAGCAGCCAAGGTTTCAAAAGAGTTAACGATGTGAATCGTGTGAGAAAGGAAACAAGAACTGGTTGTCCTGCAATGATAAGAATGAGGCAGGTTGATTCTAAGAGGTGGAGGGTTCTTGAAGTTACGCTTGATCATAACCATTTGCTTGGTTCCAAGATATACAAATCTGTTAAAAGGAATGGAACAGGGACCAAGAGGAAGTGTATATCTAGTCCAGACTCAGATGCTAAGACAATAAAGCTGTACCGGGCTCGTGTGATGGATACTGGGAACAATATGGATCCAAATTCGGCTATGAAAACACAGTTTCAGAATCTTGCTGGATCACCAGATTTGCTGAACCTTAGAAGAGGAGACTCTGCAGCCATGTACAACTTCTTTTGCCGTATGCAATTGACAAATCCAAACTTTTTCTACCTGATGGATGTAAATGATGAAGGTCAACTAAGGAATGTGTTCTTTGCAGATGGTTTCTCTAAAGTTTCTTGCACTTACTTTGGTGATGTAATCTTCATCGACAATACTTATATCTCTGGAAAATTCGAGATCCCTCTTGTGTCATTAGTCGGAGTAAACCACCATGGTCAAACCACATTGCTTGGTTGTGGCCTTCTCGCTGGAGAAACGATGGAGTCTTACCATTGGTTGCTCAAAGTGTGGCTCAGTCTCATGAAGTGTTCTCCTCAAACCATTGTCACAGACAGATGCAAGCCTTTGGAGTCTGCGATTTCCCAAGTGTTCCCGAGATCTCATCACAGATTCAGCCTGACACATATAATGAGGAAAATCCCTGAGAAACTAGGAGGGTTGCATAACTACGATGGCGTGAGGAAGGCATTTACGAAAGCAGTTTACGAAACCTTGAAAGTTGTTGAATTTGAAGCAGCTTGGGGATATATGGTTCACCATTTTGGTGTCATCGACAATGAATGGCTCCGTTTCTTGTACGAAGATCGAGCTAGATGGGCTCCGGTTTATCTAAAAGACACTTTTTTCGCAGGAATCGCTAATGCTCGTCCTGGAGAAGCCTTGAATCCGTTTTTCGAGAGGTACGTTCACAAACAAACACCGTTGAAAGAGTTTCTCGACAAGTACGAGCTAGCACTTCAAAGAAAGCACAGGGAAGAAACTCTCGGGGACTTAGAATCTCTAGCCTTGAACAACGCTGAGCTCAAAACAAAGTGTTCTTTCGAGACACAGCTCTCGAGAATCTACACGAGAGACATGTTCAAGAAGTTCCAAGTAGAGGTTGAAGAAATGTACTCATGTTTCAGCACAACGCAGCTCCACGTCGATGGGCCTTTCGTGATCTTCCTTGTGAAAGAACGGGTCCAAAGCGAGCCCAACAGAAGAGAGATCCGTGATTTCGAGGTTCTCTACAACAGATCGGTTGGTGAAGTACGGTGCATTTGTAGCTGCTTCAACTTCTATGGTTACTTGTGCAGACATGCTCTATGTGTTCTCAATTTCAATGGTGTTGAAGAAATACCTTTGCAGTATATTCTACCGCGTTGGAGAAGAGACTTCAAACGGGCTCACGTTACTGATAATGGTTTGACCGGTTTTGTCGATGGCACGGACCGGGTTCAATGGTTTGATCAGTTGTATAAAAGCGCTCTTCAGGTAGTTGAAGAAGGAGCGGTTTCTTTGGATCGTTATAAAGTGGCAATGCAACTTCTTCAACAGTCTTTGGACAGAGTTCATAAAGTAGAAGCAAAACAAGACTAGTGTTTAGTGTTTACAGACGGATTTTCTTAAACCATATCTGTATATATAAACCAAAAATGTAATTTAACTTTTTTTTTTTGGCTGTAAGAGTATAATGCAAATATGTTGATTGGTAACACAGGAGGATGGAAGATGACTTTACACAACACATATTGTTAATTTGTAAAATTATATGATCTGTTTCCGATTTTACCCTTATGGGCCTTTGAGAAAGTGTGTTTATGAGACTAATGGGCCTGTGTCGAAATAATTTCTAAAAATTGCAAAAGGAAAAAATCTCCTAAAATCTGATAGATTCCCTCTCTTTCAGAATTGGCGCAAAATTCAGATTTTTTTCTTCGCTGGTGTGTTCATAATTCGTAAGGTTTTTTCTGAATCTGTCGTCTTTCACAATTATCTTCCCCAGAAACATTTTGTGAATTTTTGTTACACAGATTGTTTGATTTCTTCTTTGATTTGCGCAGCTACAGATTTCTTCATCGATAATACTCTTCAGCTTCCGGGAAAATCCGATCTGATAAACTGTAGATTCTGGTGAGTGTTTTTATCTCTTTTGCTAAGCTGAGGAAACTAATTGTTTCAATTGATGGATCTCTGATGATAATCGGTCGGTTTGGTTGACTGTAAAAGCTTTAACTTGAATTTTAATGGAGGAAAGTTTTGTTTGCCTTCGTGTAGGCTCGTGCTTTATTGAATCTGGGCTTGTAGTTTTGAGAATCGCTTTAACCTAACATTTTCCCCAGAATCTATTGCGTTTGTGCCATAAATTAGATTGAACACCTTCAATATCAATTTTGCAGTGTGTTTATGCAATTCACATGTTTTGTAGCACATTGTTTACTTTAACATGTTTATGCATTCACATAGAGATTTCGCCCTTCTTTATCTGTAACAGTGAGTCTCTGCTGCAGTTGCTATTAAACCGGAAGAGATGAAGTTCAAGGCGTTTCTGACCGAAAATGGTGTGAATCTCTTGGAAAAGAGGTTTCTTCCAGCATTTGACAAAATGGGCAAGACCTGTTTTGTTTTCCTCACGAAAGAACACTTGTTCTTCCTCCATAACCTTCTCAACGGTGATGGAGTCCAATGCATTGCTCAGTTCCGCAAAGACGTTCTCTTTGATGATTACCGTCTATCGAGCCAGAACGAGGACCGTATAGCCTTCTCCTTGGATGTTTCTCTTCTGTACCGAGCGGTGAAGAGCAGCGTCAGCATTTGCACTGAGTTTAGCGGCGGGTTAGCTTCAAACAGATTACAGATCAAACTAGTGAAAAAGCTGCCTCCTAACTGTACACAACCAATGCCATTCCTCACGTTTGAAACCAAAGGATACAAATCTGCTGTCATTCAAGATGTTCCCATCTCGAAACCGCTGTCTCGGTCTCAAGTTATCGAGCTTCAGACCGCTCTTGACTCGGCCCAAGACCTGCCTCCTACTCTTGTTCAAGTGCAAGACCCGAATCAGTTACAGAACTTTGTGGATCATATGAAACATGTTGGGGATGTTCTTAACGTCACAATAAGCAAGCATGGTGATCTGCAAGTGCAAATCTCAACAACACTGATTAGGCTCGGCACTGAGTTCCAGAGGCTTTCGGTTATTGGCGAGAAAACTCAGGCTCCTGTTGAGGATAGAAACTTAAGCGCTCAGGCTAGGTCAGAGAGAGCCGTTGCTAGAGGAGATGCTCAGTCTGTGGAAGTTAGTGTGAAGCATTTTTCAAAGAGCCTTCACTGTCACTTAACCAAACCAGATTCTGCTTTCTATGGGATTGCTCCTCAAGGTGCTTGTTTGACAGTGATCTTCCAGTTCATGGTTCCTGGGACTCGTCAAACCGATAAATCCATCAGTTTGCATTGCCGGCTTCCCGTTCTGGATCCAGGTTCCAGCTGAATCTTGCAAGTTACTACAAAATCTTATGATCAAATGTTGTAGTTTGCTTTTTCAGATTAAAGACTTTTCCATAAAGATCAAATATGTACCATTACACTCCCTTACAAGCTCTTAAGCATCAATGATCAAATTCAAATGATAAATTGACAAAACACGATAAAACTGAAAACACACTTCGCTCTTCTAAAAACAAGCATAACCAAAACCAAACTCTCGCAAAAGAAAAAATATGTGTGAATTTCGAATTCCCGGGCCCTAAACATCACTCAGAACAGAGAAATCATCTACTCTTGTCCTTGTTTTTGATGATCCTTCTCTTCTGAAATGATCTCTGAGCTGCTTTCATCTACAACTTCCTCTCCAATATTTCCCTTGAAGAGTGGATTAGCTTCAAGCTGAGCCATTTTCTCCTTAGATTCATTCATTAGCATCTCCACAGCTTCAGACATTGTCGGTCTCTTCTCTGGCTCGCTCTGAGCACACATAAGCCCTACCAAAACTACCCTTTTCAGCTCCTCTTCCACATACTTCCCATCAAGCCTTTGATCCACAATTTCACCAAACTTTCTTTCGTAAACCAAAGGCAGAACCCATTCGGTGATACCCTGTTTTGTTGTTTGGTTTAGCTTTTCTATAGGTCTCTTACCAGTCACAAGCTCTAGCAAAACAATACCAAAGCTATACACATCTCCCATGTCTGATTCTTTTCCTGATTCAATACATTCCGGTGAGAGATACCCAAGATCCTTACCCTTGGTGGTAGTTTTAGTAACTCCATTTTCTGCATCCTCTGCCATCAGCTTACCATATCCAAAATCCGTAACCCGAGCTTCAAACTCGGAATCTAGCAGCACATTGCTTGCTCTCACATCTCCATGGACTATTCGAGGAGTTGCATGATGGTGCAAGTAGCTGTACAAATGAAACAGCAAAAATTAGTAAACTGTAGATACTTCCAGTTTATATGACCATTATGATCCTGAATACTTACGCAATTGCCTGAGCAGAGGTTACAGCGATATTCATCCGCCTGGTCCAATCAAGAAGCGACTCAGAGGAATGCAGACCATGAAGATGTGAGACCAAACTCAAATTTGGCATGTACTCATATACAATGAGTCGTTCCTGTCCTTCCGCACAGTAACCTCGTACACTCAATAGATTATTGTGTCTAATACGGGCAAGAATCTCGACTTCTACAGCAAAATCTATCTCTTCTCTGCTGCTCCATGCTTTCAATCTCTTGACTGCAATCTACAGACAAACAACAACCAAAAACTGATTAAAAATGAAAGTCAAAGTCGAACAAATCTGCACATTAAACTCCTACTAACATAACCAAAGTTATATGAAGAAAAACGACAAAGCAAGTTCTAGATAAACATTACTTGAGATCCATCCCAAAGCTGACCCCAATACACACTACCAAATCGGCCTTCGCCGAGTTTGTTGTCATAATTAAAACTGTTTGTGGCTGCGTGAAGTTCCTTTAGTGAAAAAATCCTCCATGACGGCTCAGTCTTCACCTTCGTTTTCCTGTGTGAATATATGACATCAAAACAAAGAAACACTAGTTTTCTTTTTTCCTCCTTATATTATCGAATCTGAAACTGAAGCTAATCCAACAGTAGATTGTTGTGAAAATGTTCCAACAATAGACGATAATTCACACTAAAGAAGAGATTTTGAACATGAATAGGCTCCTATTCTCAGAGGACTCGAAAAAACTGATATAAATCTCAAAACCCTAAACATCGGATGAAACCAAGAGAAAATTTTCGGAAGAGCCCAACAATGGAGAAATCAGTTTAATCAAGATTAACCAATACTTACCTATCAAATCCTTTTCCACAACTGAAGCAACTACAAAATTGCATCTTTGAATCTGAACAACCCAGAATACAAAACAAAAAATCTCTTAATCTTTCAGTTCCTTTCGTTTCTAGACTCTTCCTCGTTGCTGCACTGAGATAGAGAAAGAGAGAAGGAAACGAGAGAGAGGAAAAGCAAAGGTAACGCCTTTATTCCTGGAGAATGTAACAGCAAAGCAAAGGAAACTCCTTTGGTACTCCAATTTGGTATTAATGAGTTTTACTTCTTCAAGAAGAGAAACAAATAGTAGAATCTTCTCTCTATTAACCCTTTTCCCCCCCCCCCCCCCCTTTGAATTTGTTTGTGTTTCGCTGTTTTAATTTGAAATAATAATTTATTAAAAAAATTAGTTGGAATGATTGTGCATATATCGACACACATATATTGTTATTTATTTATATGGTATTATTTAAAATAAAGGTCGAATATTTTTTGAATTTTAAAGCTTTCCTTTTCATGACCTGTTGGCTGTTGATGATGACAAATTGACAACTAATCAAAATTTCTTAATCACCTTGGTGAACTGCAATTAAAAAATTGTCAACAAATCTTGCAATCTTTAGAGAAACAAGAATTCAAATCAAATAGTACTCACAAAGAATATTCTAGAAAAATATTTATGTAGTCTTAGTCTATGTAAAACAATGACCCAAGAGTTAGAACAGAGGAAGAAGATGAAGAGGAAAAGTATTTTCATTTTTGTTTCTGCTCAATTACAAAAGTTCTAATAATACCTATTGCTTTTATACAAAGAGATCAAGCCAATGATTATGTGCCATCTACAGTTGCTTCCTCAAGATTGACGTATAATGTTACAAGAAAGATGCTTACTTTGAATATCTCCACATGTGTAGAGGAGTCCTCATCAACTATACTAATTGAAACGCGAGCCAAATTAATAGTGCAAGAAAGATCTTTACACGGTCTTGAATCATCGACGCTACTCTCACAAAACCTATACAAGAACAATAAAGGCTTTAAAGTCAATGAAAGAAGATTTGAAACCAAACAACAACCATGTGAATCCAATGGACCAATAACTAAACATCAAGAGAGCAAAACAAGAAGAAAATGTTGGTGAGCCTTTTGGATCACATTCACTAGTTGCACAAGGAGAAGATGAGAAGATGTCTTAATTCCTTTTTCTAGAAAATTTTCACAAAGTATCAAAAAATTGAATTCTCCTGGACATATAGTTCAGTATTCGCATCCAGAGTCCTTGATCGAGAATAACATGGGCCCTAACTCAACCAGCCAACGCGGCTCAACTGATGTAGCACACTGCATATATTCCTTAGTGGTTAAGATCAGTTCATGGTACACCACATAATCCGCTGTGCATCCCAGACCGTACAGTGCGCTGCTCGGGTGCAGATGGCAAGGCATCCCGGTTCTACAGTTGACATACTCCCCAACACCTTTTAATCTACCTGAGTTATGCAAATACGCAGAACATATGGCTTTTCTCACAATATCCCAATCCCTTCCACACGACTTGAGTGGTATCTTCAGTTGCTTGGGAATATCCAGAAGCTGTGATCTTACTTGTCTAGCTTTCCTCAGACCTTTGACTTGCAGGTAATGGTCATTGCACCAGTCTCCTCTATAGTCATGCTCTTTCCACTGCTGATACACATTTAGTAGCGTTAGATGATCAGATTCCGGCACGAAAAACTTCTCCCTCGCCGCGTCGCTCTCTTCTTCTCTCTCTTTAGGTCTGAAGAACACTGAAGGTACTGAAAGCATTGACACGATCGTCAAAACCTCGTTTATACAATCAAGCCGTTCACCCATTAAGAGCATCTTAGCAAGAGGTGGATCCAATGGGAACTCCACCATCTTCCACCCGAGATCCGTTAATCCTCCAACGTTGCTAAGAGCACCCAACAACCAAAGCTGGTACATAGAGTTGAGGATGTTCTCTTGTGGAGGTGGATCCATGAATTCAAAATCTACCAAGTTGTCTACTTTCAGTGACTTCAACAACAACACGACGTTACCAAGATTCGTTCGCTGAATCTCTGGCACGGGACTTGGCAACATCTCATTCAAATAAGCACTCTCTGTATACATCCTGTAACACGTTCCCGGCCCTGTCCTTCCAGCTCTTCCTGCACGCTGATCAGAGGCAGCACGGCTTATGGGGAAAACCTGAAGAGCATCCATACCCATTCGAGGATCGAAAACCTTCATCTTTCCATACCCTGTGTCGATCACATAATATATCCCATCGAGTGTCAATGATGTTTCAGCGATATTGGTGGCAACAATACATTTACGGGCTCCATCTTCTGATTTCTGGAATATTTTTGCTTGCAAGTCAGCAGGTAACTGAGAGTATATTGGGAGAATCAGTAGGTTTGTGATTTCTCTGGTGGAGGATGCAATGAGCTGTTCCATTCTCTCTTTGAGTGAAAAGCAAGCTGCTTCGATCTCATCTTGCCCTGTCATAAATATGAGAATGTCCCCAGGTGGGCTCGCTATGTGAATCTTCATTGCCTGTTTGACAGCAGCTTCAACATAGTCTTCACAAGAACTTTCAGAGTAGAGACATTCACAGGGAAAGTCCTTCCAGGAATGTTGAATATAGGACATTCCCAAGAAATCAGAAAACTTTT